GATTTTTTTTCAGTAGAAAATGACCGCAGATACGCCATACTAACCTGAGTGCTCGGCCACCTAAGCTTTGGGTAGTTGGTCGGGCTTGGTGTTGACGTTTGACGTTTGTTCCACATCAAGGGAGTTCCAAAGACTTGGTTAAACAAGATGCGCGTCCAGCGAGACTCACCTGTCCTTAGGCGGGAAGTTTTCCAGAGGCCAAGGGTTTCCCTTGCAAAAGTCGGGCATGGCCACATTGAAGCCGGCGGCCGCGAACATGTCGCAGACCTATGTCTCGTCAACGTTTCGGCAGATGGCAGACACGAGGCAACCATCGCAGACTTTACCGTTCGAGTTCGGGCATCTTCAGGCACGGGAAACGTTCAGAGAAGGCGGCATTGTACTATTTATTATACTTCAAGGGGGGCAAACCCACCGTGTAGCATCTCGATACACAAAGCAAACGTGCTGTGGAATGTGCACCTGTTTGAGTTGAGGGCTGAAGCCGAAGATGTCGTACACGACCACGAGGGCCTTGGGGCCAGACCCTGCGGCGGTGTGTGCGAGAAAAAGGCAGCCGTAGAATTCGAGACCAAACTTAGAAAAAAAAATGGAGTAGGCTCAGCAACACGTGCATCAGCAAGTCAGCAAGTGATGCTGTCCCACTAGCCCGGTGTGTACTGTGACGTCCAAAATAGAAGGGATTACAGCGCACACAAGAAGGAGACAGCCTAGCCCGTGTTTTGCTGGATCGTTATAGGAATCGAAAATCTCAAATATTTTCTACATAAGCTTCTGGTGTGAGAACCCTCTAAATAGCAAAAAGGAAAAGGGTTTCGGTTGAGGCCGGGGCTACTCCCGGGCTATTATTTCTGCATATGTACCTTGTGTGAACACACATATATATTCGAGCGAGTCTAGCCTAAGGTACGCAGGTACTGACCGACGAAGTACGTGTCGACGTCCCCGATCTTGGAGATGGTGCCTTTGGGGGTGTAGTCACACGCGACTGGAGGACCTGCAAAGAACGGTGGGGTGGCATGCGCGTAAAAGTGCCGGCAGAGACGCAGCAAAGCGGCAGCCGGTCGTGAGATGTCTTCTGCGTAATGAGGCCGTCAGGACTGGGGTTTACCGTGGTTGTCCAGCGGGATATCAGAAATGGATCATCTCGATGGGTGTGTTGACAAGAGGTAGATGCGTCACCTACATGAGCGCTCAGAGGATAGGTAGACACTCGTAAATGGCTCGACTACTGTAGCCTGGCGGCACAAAAACACGCAGCGGGACATCAAATATACAATTCTGCATGGCTCCCCCCGTACGGAGTGGGTTACCAGCCCAAATCTACCTGCAAAAGCAGCAGCAGCAGCAGCAGCAGCAGCAGCAGCAGCAGCAGCAGCAGAAGACACACACACACATAGGTGAGCTCTGAAGCCCCAGCTTCCGCCTCATCAGAGCCCCCGTTCATTCCGACACCCCCACTCTTGCCCAACCCCGTCTATAAAAGCTGATCTCGAGCAGCTACATACAGCAGTGGCGCCTCGAGGGTGGTTCGGTTGTGGAACACTCCACAAAGCGACATAGAAAGCCCGCCAGGCACGACCTGTTGAAGAAGACGTACCAGGACAAGGTCCGTGGTTCCAATTCCGCCGATGACTCATGCCGTCGGCAACAAAACAAAGGACCTACCGGTGTCGTATGTATGCACACACGATCGTAAACGAGGGTATTTTCTACGCATCTGTGCAGCAGCAGATGCATCTTGTGCACCGACGCGCTGTTAAATATTTTCCCCGAAGGAAATAAAGGATATCACGTACAGCAGTGTACCATATCAAGACCGTAGGAAGCTCGCCGATAATTTCTTGCTGCAGCTGACGGCCAGACGACACGACAGCGCCGAAGGTAGGTGTACAGTTCATGCGGTGTGTCGGATGGCTGTGCGGTGCTACCGTAGCTGTGCCTGCTCGTTTGTGTGTGTGCGCGCCTCTCTCTCTCGCAACCACTCTTCTTTCGAAAGTTAACAAAACGAACAAACACAACCGATTAGAACATGTACACACTACGTATCTATTGTTGCACAGGTCCTCTAGTGTATTTTTGCAACGAAGGACACAAGTCATGAGTTGTGTCCCCTAAAAAAAGCAGAGGAAAAACGCCCGAGAGTCACATATTGTTCAAGAAGACACACCATCACCGGCAAGGTGCATGTATGCAGCCGTCGTATGCACAGTTGTCTCGATATCTTGTGACTCTCGGCGAAGGCAGTAGTCTACAGCGTTGAGTCAAGATGAGCTGATTGCGGAGACCCAGGTGCTATCCCCCGGTGAAAGATGCCCGGGGGCAGAGAACAAAACAACAATGGACCAGGAAATCGCGCCCCATCTTGCACATATCTGTGCCTTTGAGAAAACGACGAGAAAGAAAAACGACAACCACAAGCCAAGACAACTACTCTCTGACACGTTTGCCAAGTGACTGCCGTGTGTGGCGTGTTTGCGCACAACTGGACGGTGATGAATTTGTTTTTCCGGCGGATTTAATTCGCCGAGTAATATTTGTCGCTCTTTTTTCTCTCTTTTTCTGTGTCAGATGGCCTTGTCTCTGCTTGCGTGTGAAGCACCAAGATTGAATCAAGGGGGTGTACCTCTTTCTCTCTGGCCCGTGGTGCTGGCTCCTAGTCTCAGTTGTTACTACGCATAGCGCGCAGAGGGAGCGGAGGACTCCAGAATATCTGTCGTTGATTTCTATTGACTTGCGGACCCCTCGGGGCCAGTGTGTTTGAGCGTACCTTTTTAGGGTAAGCTAGCCTGTGACAACGGGAATCGACCGCGTCAAGTGTTGGATCAGTACGGACATATGAAGGTACTGGGTAGAGAGAGATCGGCACGGTTTTTCATGTGAATACAACAACAACAACAACATATTGTTGTGCCGCAAATTTGGGTGCGTGTGTTCAAATAACAAATAACATCCACACCGCGCTAACTGGTTGACTGATGTCTGGTGTGTGGACTCTGCAACCGCATAAATGTATGCATAAGATAGGAAGCACGTGGTTGACATGTGTTAGATACTCGTAGCATGAATATGGGACGCGGATAGTTGGTAGTTGGCACAGGTTTGAACAGGAGATTCTGCTTGCTTTCTTCGGAGATTCAAAGAGTGACCGAAAATGCGTGACCGATGGTGGTGGCTATGCACTCCTCTCTGGTGGTAGGACTCCGGTTCTACTCCAATCTAATACAAGATTTCCCCATCTCGACCCTCACTACATAACCGAGCTGCCTTTCTCCGCAAACCTGTACTCAGGCTTCGACCTACCCAGTTTACCCAACAACATGTGACGCACAAAATGAGAGATGACGACTCACCAGCAGCGCAGCAGGCGGCAGAGGCCATGTTCTCGTTCGGCGATGGGTCGCGTTGGGGAAGCAGTCGGCCGCGGCAAGGTGTGGGTCACAGCAACTCGCTCTAGTGCAGCTGGTCTGGTGTCTGTGGGACGTATGGATGTTCGTTGTATTATTCATAGTAAGGGAAGACTGTTTGTTTCGAGGCTTCACGCCTCTTTTCATTTTTCTTTTTCGCAAGGCCCCGCTGTCCCCGGTCTCTTCGTTGGTGTGGCAAGATGCGATGACACCCGATGACACACGGACACACGCACAGCAGGCGCTACCGCAAGGAACAGGTGTGGTGAGTGTGTCCACACGGAGCGTGGCCTTTGATGTGGTTGAACAGCAGCGGCAATCATAGCTGGTCGAGCGAAGTTGTACGTCATTTGGTGTCCGGTGCCCGGTGTACGGCGCGTGAGTTTTTGTTTTGTCTCCGAGTGGCAAGCTACAGGATGTTGTGGTGAGTAGGCATGAGGCAAGAGCACACCACGAGTCAGTATTTCCGAGTACCCAGCGCCCTTTGTGCACGATGAATGTTGAAGGCAGTCGTGAAAGGTACAACATGCATCTACACCTTTCGTGTCATGCGACGAGAGCACACACACACAGAGATCTGTTCCCCTCTTGTGTTTGAATTTTGAGAAGAGATTCAGTACCGCACCCGACGAAAGCTGAGGGTTCCATCCCGTAGAGAGCCGGAGATGTCTTCCTTTCAGGGCAGATGCCGTCCTGCCTGCTTCTTTTGCTTTTGATACCTGCAGCCAAAACAGATGCGGTCTCAAGCGGTCATCATGTAGAGGGTGTGCTTGGAATCCCGCATTTTCGCACTGGACCGGCTAAGATTGGCGCCATAATCGATCCTGCGGCTGAACTCAGAGATGATGGGATGGGAGAGTGTCCGCCAAGATTTCTGGTGTTGTTTGAAAAGGGGTCTGCTGCTTCATTGAACTCCTCTTTAACGATACGGCGTTGCCATTGCTGCTGCTGCTACTGAAGCAAGACTCCGACAACTTTGTATGTACTTCAATGAAGACAGCAGTTGCCAGGACTTTTACCCGGGCAGATCAGCTCAGATCCCCACCGGGTGCACGCAGCTTGCACGTCGATGAACAGAGGTTATGTTGTTCCACACGGGGAAGGCTAGAGAGAGAGGGCACGCTTGCAACAACAGCATTTTACGCCATATGGGCTCCGTTCACTACTTACCCCTCGTGCTACCTGACTCGATACCTCACAGGCCTATCATCACGGTGGATCCGCTTCTTCGTGGACCTGGTCATACACGTAAAACCCTCTTCGCTAGATTCTTCAATAAAGCCACGAGAAAATGAGCGCGAGGCGTTCGCCCAGACTATCTCCGGGAAAGGCAACGACCGCCATCGAACCAGTAGCAGGCGGTGGTGGCCGTGGCGCTCGCGGGCCGCCGAACGCCAAGCGGCTGAGACGCGCTACCGCACCCGAGGCCGCAGCTAACGGCGGCGCTCGTGCCGCAAGCCAAGAGGGGAAGAAGCCGGACAAGGAAGAGGAGAACGGACCCTCGGCCTACGAGCTGCAGAGGCTCGCCAAGATGAAAGAGAACGCGATGATGATGGCCTCTCTGGGCCTCGGCGGCGCCAAGGACAACATGCGCAAGGCTGTCAACAGCGACGCAGCCCAGAGGGCGAAGGCGCGGGGCCTGGGGCCCCGGCCGAACAAGGTCTATCCTGCCAGAAGCAGGTAACTTTTACGTGTGTTCCGGTTGTTTATGGTTTATATTTTCTACGCAAACGTTTGGAACTGTATACCCTTGGGCGCAATGCAGTTCAGAAGGAGGTGCACGGACGGGGGAAGAAACACCCAAACAAAGTACAGACCTGCGTTACCACTTTTTTGAGACCTGAGGGGGTTGCGAGCTTCAGGCTGAAGAATATCGAAGCTCAAAAGTTTACCACAAACGGGAGAGATTCGAGGCCACAACCTAGGGTCAGAAGATTTCCGAGGTTTGTGACTCACCACCGGGGCGTAGGCTGTGCCCTCGTTAAACGATAAGAAGAACAACACAGAGAGGCCTCGGAGTGGGTCAAGATGGTTCCATGTGAACTTTTTGTAGATGTGCTTGCGTTTCTTATTTATTGTATGGGCTTATTTATTTCATTTGTGTGCCTGTATTTTTGAGTGTTTGTTTTGTTTACGTCTTTCTTTTTTGGTTTGGGGAAGACATATACCCCATCAGCATCCACAAGCGGTGCTCGCACTTCCGTCATGTTCTTGCCTTAAAAGCAAACCTCATGTTGCGGGTCTCGTACATGCAGAGCAACCATGGTTTGGGAGTTGGGGGGATGGAAGCCCGCCTACAGCTCATCCGTGTAAGACTACTGTCTCCAGAGTTTTTCTGTTTGGTTTGCTGAGATTCGCTACGCTGTTCGAGTTGAATCACGTCAGCTTTGTGAACTGTTGAGCTTGGGAAACGTCATTACCAACTGACAGCCAGCTTTTGGTTGGTTTTGCTGCCTTGTTTTATTTTCAACTTTTGCATCGTTCCTTGATGACGCTGTTGTGCTCTCATAGCCCCACCCATAGGGATCCCTTGGATGACGAACGGCAAGACTCTTAACGCTTAGTATTTGCATCTCGCTCTTATGGCTTTTGAGCTTACAAATTGTCATGTATCTGATTATTTGTCTGACCACGAACCTTGCCATGCCACCTCAACACGCAGGGAGTCTGCACGAGTGCGAGGCAAAACGCCAGAGGGTTTGCCGATGGAGGACCCGGAAGAGGCGTTCAATCGTAGGAGGCAGGGTTTCGGCGCTCAGGGAACGGCGGCGGCGGCGGCGGCGGCGGCATCACCTAGGTCGCCTCGCATTGAAGGAGACGTTTCCATGGAGGCAACCAACAGCACCCTCGACGGGACTGTGCGCCTGAGACAGGTATGATCCCACTGCAATATCGTCGGCTCTTCCGGAATCTTAAGTTATTTTTTGGACTTATGATATGTTCAGGGTTTTGCGTGTCGGGGGGTCCCGTCCGATGGATACGGTGGGTACCTTTGGTTTGCTTGGGACTGCTGTGACGTTGTGGTCGCTGTGACGCTTCAAGCCAGCGTTCTGCTCAGGCGGGTTTTCGTCTTTTACCTGGGTGCTTGTCTTTGGGACTACTGTGACGTTGTCATCGCTGTGACCTTTCGAGCCAACGTTCTGCTCAGGCGGGTGATCGTATTGCCTGGTTGCTGCTCACTCCGAAGGCCCGGGAAAGGGCGGTTACCTCGGCTCGCGCCGCTCGTTGTTCGAAGTGCATGATGCCTGTTCGTGCTTTGTCGCGGCGCAATTCGGACGCCGACGAATGCGGCGTAACTCCTCGCAAGGCCGACGAATTAGTGCCGTTTGGGTCGCTCGCCGCGACGGCCGGGAACTGAGATTTGTTTATGCTGAAAGAGAGAGGCCGTTGTACGGAGTATCGAAAAAAAAATTACCGTTCTGCAATTTCGCGCGCGCAGAGTTGTGACTCGTGTGCTTTGAAGTTTCTCCCACTGATGTTATACGTTGTTGTGACGCCTCAACGTTGCTGCGTGTGTGGTGCTCGCAAGATGATGGGTGGGCTTGTTGGTCGCTACGACAGGGACGGCAACGAAGAGGACTATGAGCTAGCCGAGCCGGACGACGCCTTGAAAAGGTATTGCTATTAATAAACCTTCTTCCAGCGCTGTTTTGCTTATTTTTATTTCAGTGCGGAATCATGCCTGGTCTATAGCAAGTCTTCAAAGTGGTTGGGTAGAGTTGGTGAACAAGCCAATCGAACTTGTTGTGTCATTGGCTGCTTCGCAGCCAGTGCTCGCTGTTCGTTTCTGTTGCCTTACGCGACAGCGTGCTAATGAGAGATCTTCGTTGATCAGAAGGAGTTAGGCGGCTTGAGAGTGTTCGGGTGTGTTTCTGTTTGCTGACTCTTTAGAGGCAGCTATGGTGGGGCGCATCGGATGAACTCGTGCGGTACACCCGATTGGAAATATTCATATGTCTCACTGGAAGTCTGCACGAGAGTTTTGTTTTTTTTGCGGCGCGAAGGGAGGAAATGCCGTTTTTTTCTGCGCTGTATTCAGTCGAGGCGACAAGCCCCCCCCCCTTTGCCTACTGTTGTTTTGGACATTAAGTTCAAATTGGTACCCGATTTCTCAACTTGCGTTTCGCGCGCGCGCTTGCCTGGCCGACGGTCTACTCTTTAAGGTTATCCTGCCTGAAGGTGGAGGAGACGGGCGTGTGCAAGGTGGTTAGGGAGCGAGCGTACAGCACGACGTGGCACCCTTCCGGGGACAAGCTTCTTCTTGCTGTGGGGGACAAGGTCGTTAGATGTGTTAGTTTAGCTTGCTGTGGGAGACAAGGTTGTCGGAAATTTTATTAGCTTGCTGCGACGTCTGCGCGAGAGCAAGGATACCAATCTGTAGTGCAGTTGCGAAGAGACGACAAAACTTTTTCTCCGCCTACCGAAGCCCTTGATGTTGTTTCTGTGCTTTTTTTTGTGTCGGGGCATTGTTTCCTCAAGGTGGGAAACGTGGGACTGTGGACCGTGGATGAGACCGACGATAGGGACGCAGCGCACGGGGTGTTCCAGTTCAAGCCTCACACCGGGGCAGTGCCCCGCATGACTTTCGACCCGTTGGACGGCAACAAGCTGCTTTCCACCTCCTACGACGGGACTGTTAGAAGGATGGACGTAGAGAAGGGTGCCTTCGAACAGGTGAACGACTACCATACGCATGTTGTGGCTACTGGTGGTAGTAGCGGTGGGGGGTTCGAAAACCAAGACAAGACCCAGTCTGGTTTGGCACAGCAAACGCAAGGATGATGACACTACCACCTCCTCCTTCATTATTGTGATGTGATAGCCTGGGCCGGCGAAAACCTAGCATATCGCTCCGTCCCGGCATTGGAGGGATGCGAGGTCTAACGGCTATGGCATGCGTTTACATTATTTCACCCCAACCCCCCCCCCCGCGTTACCCTGGGTCCGCATTTTTGTACCAGGTGTTTGGCAACAAGGCGGGAGAAGACGCGTTTTTCACGGACGGCCATCTGGTTGCGGAGGACAGGTTGCTGCTGTTATCAGACGGCGTGGGCGATATCACTGCCGTAGACCTCCGCACCACCACACAAGTGAGAACGATCAAAGTCTCGCCGCGTGCCTGCCCGAAGCACGTGGTGTCTGACATGATCCCCTCTGCTAGACCATGCGCGATCAAACGCACAGAGCGTACCTTTTGATGCCTGTGCTCTTGTGCGCGAACGCTCCTAAACAAATATTTGGAACATTTGCAGAACTGGTCTTCATTGCACCGTGTCTTCTTGGACCGTTTGTTCTTCCCCTGTGGTGCAGGGTAAGACAGTGACGGCTGGTGAAGCTGCCCTCTCCCTAACTAACCCCAACGTCCTTCCAATCCTGACTTAAAAGGTTATTTTCCCATGCTATTAACTTTCATTTTCCTTTTCTGACTGATCCTAAAGTAACGTCTTGTTCCCGAACGGTGCGGTAGTAGTCGGTTGGCCGTGTTCGGCTTCTTGCCGCTTTGTGCGGCCTCCTGTTTTGCTTGGACGTATGTGGGCATTGTTTTTGCGCACGGGATTTTTCGGGTAGTTAGTCTGTAACCATGGAAGGGGTCCGCATCAGTTTAGACCAGTACTGAGCAGATCTCGGAACGGTTTATAATGTGAAGACGGAAACAACAAACTCCTCGAAAATGATCAACATATATGCGACTCTTGTATTCTTTGTTTCTTCTTGGTGGGGGTATATTGGTCTGCCCTCTGGACGGACGGACCGGCGCAGGTTTGGAAGCGCGAGGCCCACGAAAAGAAAGTGAACACCGTGCACGTGCATCCCGGCAACAGGCACCTCTTCGTTACGGTGAGTGAGCGGGGAGCGTGTTGTGTTGCCATTCGTTACATTACAAAACGTTTCACCGTTCGAGAATCTAATAGCAGTTCTTTGTGCGTCTCCTTGGGTTTGTAGCCTGCGACATCGGGTTTTCCTTGAAGAGTGGGAAAGGAGACGTACTGAAAAGAGGACAATGTCGTACGCAGTCGAGGAGTGACCCCACTTTTGTTTGTCTTCCTCGTTTCGCCGGGCAAGAAACGAAGACAAACGGACTTTCTGTTGAAAATCCCCCCCACCCTACGAGCTCAAGTCTAGTTGTTCTTGAAACATTACGTCATGTTATTGACAAGGGTGGCGACGCCGTCACTACAAGGAGGTGCTTGCTTTTTTCAACACACAATGTGAAGAAATAGGTTTGAAGCCTAGCCATGGCAATCGTTGAGGTGTTGGAAAATGCGTGCCTCCTGTCTAGACTACAGCAGTCTATGCACGCGCGAGAAAGTGAAACGACTGCTGTTGCGTTTAATAATTCAAGAAGCACTGTTCTTCTTCCTAGTTCCGAACTTATTCCTTATTCCGAAAAGAGAGGTGATGCCACAATTAGCATTTCATAGGCGTGCAATTTAAACTTCGGGAGCATTGGCTCGAAGAAAAGTGATGGGTCATGATCAATTTATACGCACACAATACTACCGCTGAATCTTTCTCGCGATACAATCACTCTTAAGGCAAACGCCGCGGACGCATGGCGAAGGGGGTGGAAAGTCCCATTTGTATTAAACGAATTGGATGAACACACACACAAACCGCAAATGATACCCATGGGACGGCGCAGAACAATATCAGCGTTTGTATGTTATGTTTTTTTTCATTTACTGTGTTTGGTTATTTTTAGTCGCGGTCGAAGAGGTGTTCCGGCCGTGCGACTCCGGTGCGAGAGAGCG